TTAGATAAGTGTCTCGTATGCAGCAAGTGCTCAGTGTTTTCCCCATTCTTATCAACTAGTGCTTTCAATCCTTACCTGAAGGGGCTGGTGAGATGGCTCAGTGGTCTAAAGCACCTACTTAGAACAAACTTAGCTAAAGCACAGGGACCGCGGTTCAATCCCCCAGCACCACAAGCCAGCCAGCACCGCCCCCTGGTGGGCTGAGCTGGCCACACACACACACATACATAAATAAATAAAATTAAAAAAAAAAAAAATCCTTACCTGAATTAAAGATGCATGTAAGACAACGAGCCCCATTAATTTATCTGAACTATAGATTTATTTTTTCTTTCTTTCTTTTTTTTTTTTTTTTTTGGAACTGGGGATTGTACTGAGGCCCTCGTACTTGCCAGGCAAGCACTTATTCTACTGAGCCCTCTCCCCGGCCCATTTTTTGCTTTTTTGAGGCAGGGTCTGGATATGCAGTTCAGGCTGGCCTTTAAATCATTTTGTAGGGCTGGTGAGATGGCTCAGTGGTCTAAAGCACCTACTTAGAACAAGCTAAGCTAAGCTAAGCACAGGGGCCGCGGTTCAATCCCCCAGCACCACATGCCAGCCAGCCCCGCCCCCTGGTGGGCTGAGCTGGCCACACACACACACACATAAATAAAATTTAAAATAAATAAATAAATAAATCATTTTGTAGCCCAGGCTGGCCTCAAGCTCGCAGTGACCCTCCTTCCTCAGCCTCCTGAGTGCTGGGACTACAGTCACAACCAGAGACTTTTGATGCAACTTTTTTTCTTCATTTTACCTTGGTACTGAAGATTGAACTCATAGTCCCTGTACCACTGTACTACACTCCCAGCCCATTTTTTATGTTATTTTGAGGCAGGGTCTCATTAAGTTGCGCAGGCCCGCCTTGAATTTACAAATTCTCCTGCCTCTGACTACTGAGTAACTGGATTACATGCAGGTGCCACCATGCGCAGCTCAACTGCTATCAAAAGAAAAACCGCCAAATGTGGTGCCGTATCCAGACTGAGGCAGGAGGTGTGCAAGTCCTCGGCCAGCCTTAGGCCACTTAGTGACACCGTCTCAAAAACGTAACGATAGGGTAGCTCAGCGGCAAGTGTGAGGCCCTGGGTTCAATATTTGGTACCGCAAACAAACAAACATCCCAGAATGTATAAGAGGGGTCGGGGAGATGGCTCAGGAGAATAAGCACTTCCCTGGCAAGCGCAAGGGCCTGAGTTTGATTCCCAGTTCCGCAAAAAAACAAAACAAACAAACAAAAAAAACCAGAATGTGTAAGAACCCAGGAACATTACCCTAAAGTACTTAACTACGTTGATCCTAGCCAAACAACAGGAGAACTTCTCGAACTTACCCAGCGCAGCTACCTCAACGCAGGGACTCAGCATCCTCTCTGGAGAGCTCCAAGACGGAAGGCAGGGCCCTCCCAACAACGTAACCGGGCCTGCTCCATTACCACCGGTGCCTCCCACCGGGGTGTGCTTCTGGAAACAGGCTGGGGTGCTGGGTGTGCCTCCGACCACTCCGCCCTTCTCCCCATGATGCAACCCCTACTAGGCTAGACTACCAGCAGCGTCGCCACCCAAGGGACACTGCGTGGACGCCACAACGGTTCCACCTCCTCCCCCGGAGCCGCCCAAACGCCTCGGCCGGGCCCTGGCACGGCCAGGCTGGTATCCCCGGCGGCCCTCGAAAGGACTGAACGGGCGGGAGCGCCATCAAAGCCCGGACAAGGGCCAGGGGCGCAGAGAGCTGCCTCAAGTCAGCAACGCCCACCGCCAGGCACAAGAGAGCACCGGGAGACGGGCCTCAGCGTCGCCCCACGGAGGCCAGCAGGTCCTCTGCAGAGAGGCCCAGACGCGCGATGGGCCCCCGATTTCGGGCTCGGGAGGCGCGGGCCGGCCGGGGCCCAGGTCCGCACGCCGCGCCCGTCAAGGGCGCAGCGAGCCCGTCCGCGGCAGACGCGCCGGGTACCTTGGCCGGCGGAGTCCATGCTCAATCGGCGGGCGGGTCGCAGCCGACGTCGGGACCGGGAGACCAAACAAGCGGGCCCGGAGC